GTAGGGAAAAAATTGCCACTTGGTGATAATGGGTTTGAATGTTGAATAAAATCTGAACTGATGCTGAAGTTCAATTCTTTTGCTTGTCTAGGTCAGTGTAAAAAACCAGTTTCAGGTCTATGTATGTGGAAAAAAAAAATACTTTTAGCTTCAACTCATTTTCGAAGTCCAGTGTTAGCAACTAGTAATTTTCCAAGTGCAGAACAGAAATGGAGGGAGTTGCAAGGAAAAAAAGGAGCATTTCTGTTGACTAGATTCGGAAAATTTTTTAGGGCTTGGTCAAAAGCTCATTGACGTCAGTAGAAAGTCTCTCATTAACATCACTGGGTTTGGCTTTTGGGGCATATGATGGCCCAGATTGTAATCGCAGTTAAATCCGATTCTGTTAGGGAATTTATTCACTAGTATAACACATTCAAGCTGCTCAAAACTGTTTGTACTAAAAGTTTTCTTAACCAAAGGTAATCTTTTTCGTGAATACTTTGTTTTGGCAAAACAAATATATTCTTTACTTCCTATCTTCCAAGTTGCTTTATTCAAAGTTTAATGAAATAATTTTTTAGCAATATGTGTTCTATTTATGAAAAGACTTTTTAATTTTTTTCTGAAATATTGGGGTTTATTAAACCAGAGACACCAAAAATTGCTCAGGGAAAAAATAATAAGCACAAATCACTAAAATCCATATATTTGTTGCTTTCATGCTCTATAAAATGAAAACAATTTAAAAATTATTAAGACTTCTTCATTCACGTCTGTAAGTCAGATCACAAGATGATCCTGTGACTTTTTTAGAAGTAATTCTCATTAAACATCTGAAATACAAAAATGCAAGGAAATGGGATGATGAAAAAGAAATTCTGGAGAATCTGATCAAAGTGAAAAATGTTCATATTTGCAGCGCTATATTATGCAGTGTATGAAAAATGTTCATATTTGCAGCATTATATTATGCGGTGTATGTACTCTGCAGAAAGATTCGTTGGAGACATTGACCTAAGTTTTGCAAGATAGCATATGTTAGCAGGGTTTCAGAGATGTGTACAGAAAGGTAGGGTATAAAAGAGACATAAAAGGGAAAAGGAATATGTGCAGAAAATGTTGCTTTATGTTGGGGGAGGCATGGAGTAGAAGGCTCTTACATTAATGAATGCAAGTTTGAAGATGCTGGACCAGTTTTACTTTCCATTAAAATTAATGAGTAGACCTCTATGGACTCTCACGTGAGGAGAATTGTGTGTATGTTCCAGGAAGTCACAGTTTTGCCACTGTGCCATCAATGAAAGTTATTAGAATCACCTTTGTGAAAAATACTGTCTCTACAAAAAATAAAGGTATGAGCTGGAAGAGGATAATAGGAAGAGAATTAGAAAACAATAAGCAGTTGCTTCACCCTTTATAGATCGGAGAACTCATTGAACTGTGAGTTAAAATAAGTCATATGGTGAAGGGCATTTAGTACTGGTTACTATTTCATTTTATACAACAACTAACTATCAGGGCATTAAGTACTTTATAAAGTCAGGAAATTAATGGTCCTTGTAAAATATGAAGACTTTTTTGAAAGAAAGCTGTAAAAGAACAAACAATTAAAGGTAATCAATACCATTGTTATTAGGAATCCTGTGAGTACAACACTTCTTCTCAATTAGGGAGAAGCTGTAATATATGTTTTTCTCTTGCAAGCTGATCTTTGTTCACTTCAGCCTGTAATCTTAGTTTATGCTTTATGGATAGGCTTTGTTCTGGGTGTTTTTGAAGCATTGCATGCCTTTTTAAAGGTTTCAACAGAAGAACAAACAGCAATGAACTCAAAGAACAAAGGATTTTTCTTTCTTTCCATCTTTATTTTTTTCTTTAAGAAAAGAAAGTAATGTTTCATCTTGGTTTTGGTTTTTTTTTCTTTCTCTTTCAGGAAGTTGATGGCAATAAAGTGATGTCTTCATTTGCCCCGCACAACTCATCTACCTCACCCTTGAAGGCAGAAGAAGGTGGGCGTCAGAGTGGAGAATCATTGTCCAGCACAGCCCTGGGAACCCCTGAAAGGCGTAAAGGGAGCCTAGCGGATGTTGTAGACACCCTTAAGCAAAGAAAAATGGAAGAGCTCATCAAAAATGAGCCAGAAGGTAAGGCCTGGGAAACTGGCCAAAATTTTCTGGTTTGTTTTCTATTCTCCAGATTCTTTGGATATGTATACTTTTTAATCTTCCCATTTTCTGCTCCGCTTGCTTTTCCTTAGTAGCAGAATTGAAGTAAAGAACTCCTCGTTCTTGTCTACGTTAGAGATTTCATCAACATCCCATCATAGCTAACATTTTTAGCTGTTCCCAAATGAGAGCGTTTGTCTGACATAGCGGTCTTTTTGTCACAGTTGCAATAGAAACAGAAGCCTCCTCAACATGAACACTAATTTTAATAGCCTGGGGGTCATTTATACCACTACTTTCTCTTTCCCCATTTCCAAAGCAAAAAGCAGAGTTATCAGCAATGGCAATATTTTTTGTGAAATGATCTAGTAGGCATGTCATTATTTGAAAGTTAAGAAGTTAAATTTGGAATTCATTAAAGCTTCTGTATAGAACATGTGCTATCATGTCAGCCTCTATTTATCTGTAGTGCAGGTACTATACAAACAGACATAGTACAGGCTTTCTCTGCATTATGTCTGGCCACCAAGTTTCAATCTTGGCATACAGGTATCATCTCGGGAGAATCAGTTTCTTTTTGAGACAGTATGTTCAGTCGTGCTCCGCTCGTTCTTTGTGGGCTGAGACTAAGACAGAACATCTCTCCTCTTAGAAGCCACAGGACAGCTTTCTTTTAAATAAGATTTTCCATTCCTGCCTATGTGACGGACAATTAAACCCCTGACTGGAAGTATGGGGTTCTCACTGTATTCTCCATAGGTACCCAGCATGCATATTTACAGCGACATTTTCAGAGGACTGTGAGCCAGTTGATGTTGCGTGAACATACTGAGCCTTGTTCTCTAATGCACAGTAGTATGACTTTACTTTCATATACACTGTCCTATTCTGTTATAGAAACCTATGTCAAATGTTTAAAAGCATGGGCCTCAGAGCCCACCGCGGTGTTGAAGTATGACTTGATAGCACCTACAAGAAAATTTTAGGACAACCAGCATGTTGGAATGAAAATACAGACACAAACACAGCCACCTTGTCACATGCATGAGCGTGACATGAGGACTGCAAATTAGTCTTCTCTTTAATAAGCATGCAGTAAGGGTCTGCTGGGAAACAAATTCTTTGTCTAAGCAATTTTTTTAATATTACATATAATCATAGCATTTCATTTTGCACTAAGGTTGACTTAATGGTCAGTTTTGTGACCTCCCTTGTGACTCTGAATGAAGAGATCTTTCCTGTGTATGGATGAGGTGGGGCAAAGGAAACCAGACCTTATGAGAGGAAAGAAGAAGGGGTTCTGGGCAATGTATAAATACCCTGTTGAGCATGAGGTTGTATAAGCCGCACAGACTCCATTAAGGAAAGGCTACAGATAGATATGAGAATGGTTGCAGAGCTTGTGCATTATGTCAGCTCTACTAAAATGAAAATATACAGTACAAACAAAAGATGTACAGCTTTGTGAAGAGATTGGGAGAGAGGAGGGGGAGCAACTGAATGTTGGGCTTTGCAAATGCATGCAACAGAAAATCTTTTCTTCCCTCTAGCCATTGTTCTATTGTCTTTCAAAGGCCATTAAAATAAACAGCAGGTTGTGATGAAAATTTCATTAAGCCCTAGTTAAATCATTATGAGGGTGCCATATTCATGTTCCTGCTTACTCCCCATCCAGGAAAAAATTAATAGGAAAGGATTGGGTTGGGTTTGTTTTTTTTCTTTAGTTTCTCCTTAAAAGCAAACTAACAAAAGTTCAGAAGTTAGAAGAGAATGGGAAATGGGAGATGAAACAAAAGGAGGCCAGAGAGGTGAGCTGGCTAGGAAGAAAATTAGACTTGCATAAGAGCCTTGAAAGGAAGTGAGGGACAAATGCATCATTTTGACAAGTCTCCCTCCCCCTTCAGCCAACATGATTGTTTTTAGAGTGGCTAATTAAAAAATATATATTTCTGGGTGCAGATGGCAAGACTGTTCTTAGAGATCCTCCACAAATATGACTCCTTTTCCCTAAAAGATGTATGTACTACTGCAAGCACAATGTCTTCTCTGTTTGAACTCCAGCAGAAAACCTACTTATTGTCACCTCTTCTTCATGTTGTGCTAAAGTAAAGTTGTCAGTCATCACTGGTTAGTAGTCAGGTAATTAGCATATTAATGAATTTCCCTGTGAATAAGATAAGTTACAAGGGGGAATCTTTGGTAGTACATCTAGGTAACGATTCAACAGTGCATGATCACTGTGTATTTCAGTAATAATTTTCAGTCTTGCTAGTTTGTGGAGCTTTGTAGGAGAAGACCAAAAATCTTGGTTAAGCTTACTGCATTATGTCAACAACAGTAGCACAATACTTTATTTCCCTTTGGAAAGAAAGGGAAACATTTGCACCAGTAGCTGAGGTTTAATTAAATCAATTTCCCGTGAATCTTTCGAAGACCAGATATGAGCCAGATTCCCATTTCTCTATGTACTCAAAAGTTTATATATTATTTAACTTGTACAATGGGCTGTGTTTGCTTTGTTTTTATTGTTTGAAATTCTCTTCTGAATTACTGTGGGAAATACGCTTTTGAAGCAGCCTTTCAAATGGCCTGTTTCTTCAAAACTGGGAAAAAAAGGGGCTGAGTAGACAACTTTAGGTCTCAATTGAAACCTCCAATCAGTCAGGGAAGGGACTTCTCTTTCCTAAACGGATTTTAAAGATGAGTGAGGTATTCCAAATTATTGATAACAGGTCTGACTGTTTTTAAGAAATTTCATTGATATAAAATCAATGGTTTTCGTAAATTGTATTTCTTAGGAAGTGAGAGTAAAAGTTCGTAAGTTTTGTCAGTAAAGAACAAGGATTTTTACAGTGTTACAAAACACACTGCTCAGACTGCATGAATGCACACATGTATGTATGCATGTATGTAAGCACATACATGTACCCACACATGAGCTGACAGGAAAGCATCGCTTTTCACATAAAGTTTTTCCATGTTGATTTGTTGTATATATGCCCTTGGTTAATGTCTCCTGTAGAAAGTCGTGCTACTGACTTACTCCAAAGAACTTTCCAAAAGCTTGTCACTTCCTTTTCCTCCTTGCATATGTGTTTCTTGTTTTCATATGGGTCTATACTTAGCTCTAAAGTGCCATGCTCTTTTTTTTTTTTTAACCCCTAAACTTGCCATTTTACTATTGCTGTATGAACGTATGTGATTGACAATGAGTCATGCTGACACAGAGTGTTCCAGTAAATCTAAAACTTGTGGAATTTTACTCATTGCTAATACAGTGCTCATTTTTCTTCTCTCAAATTCTGTGGAAAATCCTTATATGCAGCTTTAGTATTAGGCCCCCAAAGGCATAAACCTATTACTGAAGTCACACAGTGTTATTTTACATGAAACATTCTGTCCTTTCTAACTTGAACTTCAGAAGAGGAGTCAGTCCCCTTTTATTCCTGGTATACAATAATGAAGATAATGGAGTGGGTTTGGAGAAGCCTTATATACTGTGACAGACCTCAAGCCCTTGCCCTGAGGGTCGTCTGCCGACCATGAGATTCCTTTTGCAGCTAAAATCATTAGGCGAATGAGATACAGGCATGTTTTTCTTCTGTTTTCTTAAGGCATCAGAGGATGGCAGAGACTCTCTGTCTGTTCTCCTCATTTGTAGAAATGAAATGGAAATCTCTTTGAAGTCACTGAGCTTGACACAAGTTCATGAAAGCAAAGACCAAAGCAACCACTTAGCTTTTTCTTGCACTATTAATGGGATTGGATTGCTGTATTTTAATTTATGGCCTGCGCTTCTGGAAAATTAAATCTCTGAAATCTGCGTAGCCTTTTCTCTAAACGTATGGCTTGGCTTCTGGAAAAGAAATAGACAAACAAGTAAATTCTCTCCTATTTTTGGAATAAGCCAGAGTACTCCCTGTCTCTACATCTCCTAACTTTCAATCAAGAATCAATTTTCTTTTTCCATTTTGGCAGTATATGTTTGTATCAGGTTATGTATCCGTCTATCTTTAAAACTTACATACTTCATCTTCTGAGGCCGGATCTATGTTACTGTGCAGAATTTGTAGGAATTCTGGATGAAAAGATCATACGGGCATCTGCTTGACCACAGAGACTGTGCATATGGGCATGTGTACGTGTGGGTGCACTCATTCATCTGCATGGTGCGTGCTTCTATAGTAAGGACCTCTGAAGCTCAATTCAGTTTTGCCACTTAATACTTTGAATTTTATATAAATACATATACACAGATATACATGTATATAAAAGGCATGTATTATATATATTTAGACATACATATATGTATAAACATGCACACACAAGAATTGTGTATATGTAGTGTTTCGTATTGTTCCTACTCCAAAATTTCCATCTAGTAGTCCTTAGGTCTTCTGAGCAGAAACAGTTAATCTCAAGTGTTTAGTAAACAGGTAATGTATATGTTTGCAGGGTTTTAACAAGCAATGTGAGTACTAGAGCCTCATGCATTATAGTATGCTGCAATACTATAAGTAATCACTTCATTGGAATGAAAAGGATGAGAAAGGCCTCTCGGGCATGATTTTTGTCTTCTGAACATCCCCCAAAGGCTATTTGTGCTTGATGTTTAAGTTTACATTATAAATCATAACACCTGTTCTATGTGGTAATTTGAATGGCTGTTTTTAAGCAGTTCTGTAGTCTATAAAAGTGAACCATATTGAATTTGGGTTCTCTAGTTGAAAGAAGATCCCAAAATATCTCCTAATATTATCAAACTTTTAATCAACATATCTTATAAAGAAATCAAGAGGTCTCCCTCTTCTTAAGCCATAAATTCCAAAGCAGACCATTAATGGGCACAAGAAGGGAGGCCTTTGAAATGCATACTCTGGTTTTCAAATCACAACTGATGAGATGGGAAGAAATAAAGTGAACAGATTTGGGAAAAGCCTAAGGATACTCTAATTGATTGAGGTTTGAATTTCTTTTAT